AGAAGAAATCGGCCCACAGGTTCCCCGCCTACATTTTAATACACAACCCCGCTCCAAGACGTCGTCCAAACTCAAGTGGGCGTGGCACTATCGAAATTGCGGGCGGCCCTCCAGCTTGAGAGCGGAAATGTTGTCCCATATGGCGGCGTGGTTGAACAGTCCTCGCGCCAGCTCTTGGTTCCAAACATTACCGTCTCTCATCACGGCTTGGAGATCAGACACAAGAAGTTATGTGCCAGGGTGACGGCACAAGCTTGCCTGACCGCACATCGTTCAGCCCTACCGATGGTTCGTCTGGATCTTGGCAACGCTCCGAACATTGCTTTGTATGGCAGGAGGCAGTCGAACCATGAGACCGAGGCCCATCCGGCACGCAGAATCTCAGGAATGCTTGATTGCAAACGACTGCCATCCAGAAAAAACTCAGGCCCAAAAGTGCCACGGGAGTCCGCAAACTCGAGCACCTCAGGGCAGTCCGTGGGAGGCTTGGGGGGTCCATGGAAAGAGAGAGAGGGGGGGATACCATAGTTCATGTACGTGGTGTCCATTTGAGGGGCCCCGCACACGTCAAGAGAGGTATTGATGATGTGGTTTACACGCTGCTCAGGAACCTCCTCACCTAGGGGATCCGCCCCCTCATCGTTGATGAAACGCCTGCACACACGCCAAAAGTGTCCGTAGGTCCCGTGGGGTTCGTCGCATACAAGACAGTTGGGGACAGCGTTGTAGGACATCTCGACCACGACCAGGGTCGTCCGATTTCGAGCCGTACGACGCCTACGGCCTCCCGTCCCACGAGCTCTTCGACAGTCTGCATCGTTCAGTCTGGTTTCTGTCCGTCCCTGAGGCCTTCTCTTTGGAGTGATAATGCCTTCTGTTCCATTGGGCTGGTGCGCTAAACCCGAAAGGAAACAAACATAACAAACCACAAAAAGCACCATGGAGGTGTTGGGTGAACCGCAGAAGCCCTTGTTTCGAGCTACAGTTTTAATTTCATAGGCCATCCCCGCCCTGCAGGCAAGCCGTGGGGCTCAGGCGAGCACCCGTTACAGCCAATCGGTGATTGAATTGTTTGTGCCAGTCCTGAAAGTGGGACGTCAGAAGCACGGAATCTACCACAAGCAGAGTCGATGTAGCAAGTGCACGTCTCCTCTCCTCGCCCTCTTCCTACCTCCTCCCTTCTCTCCTGTTCGCCCTCCCCTCCTAGCGGTGTCGGGGCAAAGCGCTCGGCAACCGGGGGTGGCTACCGCGCCAGAGCCCTGGCGCCGTCCCGTCCGCGCCGTCCGCGCCGTTGCTGCCCGTCTGCTGCACGGGGCGTCTTGTTTTGGTGCGGCCGCCACGTTTTAGTGTCAGTTCGCTATCATGTCTTCGTTGGTCACCGCCTCCACGGTCGTGCACTGTCGGTCTCGCGGCGTTGGGATCTCACGCTATTCGTTGGCGCGTGCCTTCGCCCTTTCAGCTCTATTTTTGTTCAGACGTTGGTCCCCAAGTCTTCTGCATCCTGCCTGGGCCCGAGGCCTGGCACACGTCCGAGACATTTGTCGATGACTTCTGGGCGCAGGGACGGTTAGTGCCTCCGTCCTCCTCCTTTCTCTTCTCGTCTTCGTCCTCCCCCCTCCTTCCCCCTGTCGCAACTGCATTGTCGATGTGTTGCTCAGGCCACGGTTCATACCACAAGTTTACCAATCGCAGGTCGGCTTGTGCGGTGTTCTTGGTTTGGCTGGCGACCTTTTGACTCGCGGTGTGGTTGTGTCACCCGTGGTCTTTTGCGTGAGGAAAAAAGGACATCTCGACCAGGGTAGCCGGGAGGGGAACCACATTGGACCACATTGCCGAGAGCGCTCACAAATGCTTAGGACATTTGATCGCGCTGATACGGCGCTTGAGGGCCATGTGCCAGGCCTTCACGAGCCTATTAGAGCACCGTAGATGGGATGAGAGACTGTGACGTTGCCATCTCTGGATCGCTTGAGTAAGCTCGAACTTGATGTCATACGGCGCCGTATTCAACAAGGAGATGGCAACACCCTCGTCCGTGACCAGCGTGTGGGCGTTAGCCATAGACCAGCCAACCCCGATAAGCGACAAGCAAACCGTAGAATCTACGCCGTAGAAAGGGGTCCCCTCGCTTGCTGCCAGGTCGGATTGTCCGTGAAGGTATCACGAAAGACAGTTCAGGTCCTATGGGCCCTACTCATAAGCGTACTTGATGACCACCCTTCACGTACAGTCATAGATTGGGTCGCACACGGGATCGGAGTTGACGATGAAATGTGCGGTGATCATTCCGTGTCTCTTGGCCCCACCAATTGTGGCGGCAAATTGTTTAAGATAGCATAGCGCAGTGCCCGAAACGCCTCAAATTGTGCCTCCATGGCCGGCAGCGGGCAAGGCTCCAGTCCGCCAGAGCTTTGTGACTCGTCGACCCATTGCATGTTTTGGTGCGAGATGTTTCTTCTTGCGTTGCTTGATGGCGTGAACTCTCTTTTTCTTTCGCATGCGAATACATCGGCCTTCAGCCGTCTCATGTCCCAAGTTCCTCATCCATCTTTTGGCGGCAGCCCACGTCGGGCTGCAGTACGGGCGCCAAGCACTGCAGACAGCTTGCGCCCTGCAACTAGGCCAGACTGCTTGACCTGCGTGCGCATCCCTGCATTACCGACGTCATGCATAAAAGTGTGGGCGGCACGCTTGAGAAGCGAAACATCATCAGCTGATGGCGAAATAATCTGGATGGGCACGTCTTCCACCAGACGTGACGCAAGGAGAGATAGCACTGATCCTTTTTAAGGCGCGCAAAGATAAAAGAAGCTGCATTCCCGTCGCATGGCTGCACCCTGCAAGGATGCCTTGATGCGCCGTGAATGGCCGAGACAGGCTGCCGGAGGCTTTCAGGCGTCGCGATTGCCTGTTCAAATCCACGAGCATCCACGCTAATTTCATGGGAAACGAGAAGATTTCGGCATCCCTGAGCAGCTGTTCTGAATGGATCATCTCGAAGCGCTTGACCATGTCAAGTAGCACAGAAATTGTGACGTCACCGACCAACCCAGCAATCTCAGCTTCGAAGATGTGCGAGAAAGCATGTTCTGAGGAACTGTGTCGCCTACGAGACCCCCGGACCTCCAAATAGTTGTGGCGGCCTTGCCAGTCAAACATGAGGGGCGTGCGGGCCTTGCCCACCGCAAAACCAGCTGATCAACGCGATGAGTCTGGTGCCACCTTCGGGCTTAGCCAATCTAACCATGACGTCGCATACGCGGTCCACTGGCCAAGCTAAAAAACGTTCGCTCAGATTGAAAAGGGTGGCAATTGCATCGTGAGCTTGACGCGGTCAATGAACTAAAGCTCGAGGGTGGATCCCCATGGAGCCCGAGGCCGTCTTGGAAGAATACGTGCAGGCAGCCTCGTCAACCTGATCCCGCGAGAGGGTGGGCCATCTGTCGGCCCCAGTGGGGGTCACCAAACGCTGGCTGCCATGCGCTTGCCACACCTGCGTCCGAGGTTGCAGCTCATCGTCCGCAAGCTGGTGAGGAGCCGGCCTGCCTTTGTGGCTGAGAACCTCCTGAGCAACCTTGACCTGAGCGAAGGCATCTATGGCCCATTTAGATAAGGAGGAGCAGGAAATAGAAGAAGACGAGAGATGAACGAGGGAGGGCTGAGGAGAAAGGAGGAGGAGGAGGAGAGAAAGGAGGAGGGAGGCGGCGGAGGAAGGGAGGGAGGAAGGGAGAGGAGGAGGAGGAGGAGGAAGAGAGGAAAGAAGACAAAGAAGAAGGAGGAGGAAGAGGTGGAGACAAGGCAAGACCAGACGGTTCGCGAAGCGCGTGCAAGAGAGCAGGGAGCGGGCACCTCCCCCCGCGGCAATTCCCTCCAGCATCGGCCCCAGACATTCGATGCCTCGACTTGTTCGACACGAGGTCCCCGGAAGCCCCAGGGCTCGGGTTCGAGGCTGGGCCCAGAGCAGCTCGGATTGGAGGTCCAGGGCCACGGCCCTCAGCTGGGGATCGACTCGGCAGGAAGAGCCCCCGCCCAGGCAGATCCCAGTCGGGGCCGATGTGACGGGGGTCAGCCAATCCAACTCGAAGCGAGATCCTCTGGCTGACCCGCATTGGACCTGGAGCCGACCCCCCCTCCGCTCCTTGCCCTCCGCCCGGGCTTGGGAGTTGCTTCGTGGCGGGCTCGGGCTCGCGACGTGGCCCCGGCTGACCCGGGGCTGCTTGACGGCCCCGGAGCCCGGGACCGGCACGCAGAGGCCAGAAAGGGCGACAGGCCAGCCGCTCCGAGCTCCTTTTCCCGCTGTAGTGGTCGGTTCGCCCTGCAGCAGTTGCAAGGCGCGGACCCAACTTGGAGCAGCCAGGCGGACATGCTCGCGAACAAGTGTTTTGCAGGTGGGTTGCAATCAGGATCGTTTGACCGACCCCTAACCCCATCCCCGTCCCCATCCAGACCCCCACCAATTTACCACCCCAGTTGGGGACACCTTCGAAACCCGCAGCAACAGGACGAGGATAAATCCATTCCACAGCGTTCCAGAACGCTCTCAGACCGCTCTTAAAAGGCCGCGGCGCCCGAGCCGCCAGATCTCAAAGACTCTCGATTTATCCTCATCCGATGTTATCCTCGTCCTGGCTTCGTCTTACTGAAGGATTGCAGGACAGTTCTCCGACCAATTGCGAGCCTTACCCCTGCGGGATCCGCTCGACGCTAAGGTATCGAACACCCTCGCTGGGGTTCACTTGGTTGCAGACATCCTTCGATTTCTGAACCCACCCCAACCGGCGTTTTAGAAGTCTGACCTGCAGGGGTAGGGTTCGCATGCGCTTACTAAAAGTGGTTCTAGATGGCCCTTAAGCGGCCCCTAAACTGCCACCTCGCGCTCCATTGGTGCACGAAGCGTGCACGTGTTACTTCACTCCCACATCGTCAACGAACACCCGAGGACGCGTGTGAGGCACCCGCTGCCCCCTCACCCCATCCCCCGCGGGGCCCCCCCGACGGAGCTCCGCCACGACCGGGCCGCGTGCACCTGGGCGCGGGGCGTGCTCGCGGGCCACGACAACCTCTGCGCCATCGGCGGGCCCGCCGTGCCGGCCGCCAGGGGGCCCGAAAGCCGACGCCGTCGTCGCCATCGCCGTCGGCGGCATCGCCGCTCTTCGTCGACGGGCTCGACGGGCTCGACGGCTTCGTCGTCGTCTTCATCGCATCGCCGTCGTCCCTCGTCGTCGTTGTCGTCGTCGTCGTGGTCGTCGTCGTGGTGGTCGTCGTCGTCATCGTCGTAGTCCGGCGTCGGCGTCGGCGTTTTCGTCGTGGCCTTCAGCGGCGGCGGCGATCCGCGGTGCCGGCTGCGACTGCCCCGCCCTGCCCGTCTCTTGCCCGAAGACCGTCGTGCAGGAGGAGGGCGACGAGGAGAGCGAGAAGGCGGAGGGGGAGGAGGAGGAGCAGAAGGAGGAGGAGGAGGAGAAGAACGAGGTCAAACGGGGGGACGAGTAGGAGGAGAAGGAGTCGGAGGACGAGGAGGGGATTCCCCACCGCCCTCCCATCTCCTTCCCGTACCCCTTTCCCTCCCGTCCTCTATCTTCTTCCCTCCCTGCACATCCCTCCCCGTTTTGTCCTACCTTTTCTCGCCTACCCGACACTTCTTATCACGTCCATAAGCTGCCCCTCGTTTCACTGCATGTCTCCCCCACAACCCTTCCTCTCCCCTTCCTCCCCCCTCCAGTCCCTTGATGGGCAAGGAAGACAACGAAGAAGCGGACGAGGAAAGGGGCAGGCAATGAGGAGAAGAAGCAGCAGGAATAGGAGTTCAATCAGTGTAAACCCAAAACGCATCAACGCTGTTGTCATAAACCCTCACTCTAAGTTCCCTCTTTACACGCCCATAAGATTTTATTAGTGACGCTTCGCATATCCCCACCAGCACGGCCCCCTCGGCTGCGTCACGATGGTCACCGAGTTCGTCGGCTTTTTGAATTTCGCAATTTGGGCGCTGCACGTCGACCTGCGGTTCATCCTGGTCCTCCGCGTTTCCTGAGTCGCAGCGTAGCCCGCTCCTGTGGCTCCGGTGCGTAATTTAGGCCGTTGCTTTGTCATTGCTTCGATCTGACGGCGCGCGGCTGCACTGCTTGCGCTCGCGACCAAAAAAGTATCCCCACCAGCTGATCCAGAAGCAGATCGCCAGGCGAGTTGCCTTGATCAGGGAGGTGTAGAAACGTGCAGTGCAACAACCGCCTTGGAAGCGTTTTCTCGGAGGTCTCTTGGAGCCATATTGGGGCTCTCTTGGGGTCCTCGCGGAGTCTCTTGGAGCATTATTGAGGCCCTCTTGGGGCTCCCGTGGGGCCTTCTTGGCCCTCTTGGGGCTCGTTGGGGGGTCTGGGAGGCTTCTTGGGGCCATCTTGACCCCCATGGTTCAAAAAGAGAAAAGGAGAGAGAGGGGGGGGGGGGGGGGTGGGGGGAATTCAGCTCCCCCCCCCCCTTCGGAGGCTCCAAAATTGCGTCTTGGGGCGCTCTCAGGGCGCTCGTGGGCGTTATTGGGGCCCTCGTGGGCCCCTTTTGGGGCTCTCTTGGGCCGTCCTGGGGTCATCGTCGGCCTCAAGGACCCATCGGAAGCGAAAAGACGATAAGGCAAAAAATTGAATGGCCCCCAGTTTGAAATACATGTTGGCTTTTTGGCGGGGTCCTTGGAGGGCTCAGAGGGCACTTGAG